CACACACACACACACACACACACGCACACATACCCCCCCCCCCCCCGTGGCCCCATCCAAGCCACCCCTTAATCTAGCCCCACCAACCCTCCAACCCAACACCCCATTGTTTATACCATTTGTTCCAATATTTAGACCAACATTTGTACCAACCGTTAGACCAACCTTTGTCCAATATTTGTACCAATCGGTATACCAACAGTTGTATCAATATTTGTACCAACCTTTATACCAAACTCTATACCAACATTCGTACCAACCTTTACCAACATTTGTACCAACTTTTCCACCAACCTTTATACCAAAATTGTACAAATTCATACCAATTTTGTACCAAACTCTATACCAACATTTGTACCAAACTCTATACCAACATTTGTACCAACCTCTATACCAACATTGTACCAACCTCTACCAAATTTTACCAATTTGTACCAACTTTTATACCAACCTCTATACCAACCTTTGTACCAACATTCGTACCTCCCCTCCAGGTACAGCTTCGTGGACAACGACCCTGTACGACAGATCCCGTGCAACAGATGGGACGCGTGCATAGAGACTTACGGCAACGGTACCATGAGCGTGCAATACCACTGGTCAGGTAAGGTCATTGACCCTTGCCTTCTCCATCCGGGTCCGTCGAGGCGAGAGGTCAGGTAAGGTCAATGACGTAGGTGAATTCTCAAAGATTGGCGCTGATTGGCTGGGTTCGGTGTGTTTCAGGTAAGTATGGTCACCAACTTGCTAATTACTTGTTAATTGTAAGTTAAATTATTATCGTTACGTTTCAGGTAAGTATCGTCACAAACTTGCTAATTATAAGTTGGATTATTATCATGCGTTTCAGATAAGTATGGTCACCAACTAGTTTAATTATAAGTTGGATTATTATCATGCGTTTCAGATAAGTATGGTCACCAACTACGTCACAAACTTGTTAATTATAAGTTAAATCATTATCATGCGTTTCAGGTAAGTATTATCACCAACTAGTTAATTATAAGTTGGATTATTATCATGCGTTTCAGGTAAGTATTATCACCAACTAGTTAATTATAAGTTGGATTATTATCATGCGTTTCAGATAAGTATGGTCACCAACTAGTTAATTATAAGTTAAATTATTATCATGTGTTTCAGTTAAGTATATCACCAACTAGTTAATTATAAGTTGGATTTATCATCGTTTCAGATAAGTATCTCCTCAACTTGCTAAATTATGTTAAATTATTATCTATACTCGTTGAGTTTTAGGTTAATCGCCATCAACAACCTTATGTATCAGTTAATCGTCATCACCAATCTGTTAGTTATCAGTTATCATCAACTTGTGAACTATCATATCTAATCTTCATCACCAACATGTCAGATATCAAATGACTCATTAACCCGCTCATTATGAATTAATCAGCAACGTGTCAATCTGTCATCAGTCGCCATCTTGTCACGTACATCTCTGCTTCAGTAAAGAAAAGATATTATAACATATGAATAATACATTAATAATATATATACATGTGTGTGTGTGTGTGTGTGTGTGTGTGTGTGTGTGTGTGTGTGTGTTGTGTACATGCGTACACGCACAACGTATATATATATATATATATATATATATTATATATATATATATATATATATTATATATATATATATATATATATATTTATATATATTATATATATATATATATATATATATATATATATATATAATAATATAAACACATACACATCATACATGCATACACAGATATGTATTCATATATATATACACACACATAAATACACACACACACACACATACATACACACACACACACACACACACACACACACACACACACACACACACACCACACATATATATATATATATATATATTATATATTATATATTATATATATACATATACATATTATATATATATATATATATTATAATATATATATATATATATATATATATATATATAAATATATATGTATAACATCACTAGTTTTATCTCATCTTCACTATATAGCAGTGATAAAAACAGCAGTTACACCAACGAAAAATGAAGATAACGATTATAACAACAATAAAAAAAGACACACAACCCTCCCCCCTCCCACCCCACCCCTCCCCCTCCCAACCCTTCCAACCTCTGACCCTCGACCTCCCCTCCCCTTCCAGACCAAACACTCGTGACAGACGTGACAGGCTACAGCCACGAGCGCCCTGTCATGGCCCACGCAGCCGGCTACTACGACGCCCCGCGAGCCAAAAGCAACCAGGTGGACGTCGATAAGATGTACAACTTCGGGTTCTTCGACGACAACCCCGACTGGGAGGTTTACCGGTGGGCGCTGGAGGTGAGGCTTATCTCCGCTGATAAGAGATGGATGTAATGGAGATAGAAATAGATTGAGACAATAGATATAGATAATTAGAGATAATAGAAATAGATAATTAGAGATAATAGAAATAGATAATTAGAGATAATAGAAATAGATAGAGAT